GATTTTCCTGGTGATCATTGGTGACGTTAGTTGGCACAGTCATTTAGTTGCGCAAATGGATTATCACTAACAACGTCGTTAGAATAATAAAGCTTATTTGCTAATAGGGAGTTTAGGTTGTAAACTATGAAAGAAATAAACACAAATTTATTTAGTTGAAGGGTCAGGTCGTCTTTATTGATAATTTATGTTTTAAGGAAATAGATATTGGCAAAGATATAGTTTTATGTTGTTAAGATTATACTTTATTAATTGTATGATAGAAACTTGTTATTTTGTTAAGGTGAAAATACAGGATATTTATATAAAATACAATTATAAGAAAGAGATAATAAATATAATAGTGAAAGCAAATATAATTATGATAATAAGATAGTAAATAAAATAATGATAAATGTAATAATAAAGAAAATAAATATCACAATGATAACTGTGATAGCAGTGAAATTAATGAAAATGGTAATCACAATTTTCTTAGTGATTATTAATAATATTAACTGATGCAGTTATTTAGTGACGTAAACAGATTATCACTAATAGTGTTTAGTGTCAATTTGCGTCAGCTACAGCTAACACATGTCAGTTTATTCCTTTGACTGAAATTAATCAGATGAAACAGGATTTTCATTACCACAGCATATGTTTTTGACGAATTCTTTCATTATTTTAATTAGTAATCATAATCATTCAGTCCCAATATTTTTTAAAAAAATCATATATAAACAACCGTTGTTTTTATCAATATTGATATTTATATTGAAATTGATATTGATATTGATATTGATATTAATATAAATAAAAATGGTTTCTATAGTTCCTGTATGAAGCTAACCAAATTTATACCTATTGCTTCCTTTTTAGGAATGGTCATAGCTTCCACTATATAAATAGAATCTCCTGATACCAACATCTATATGGCATAAACTGTATGTAGTGTTAAATTCAAAACTGGCAATTTTTATGGAACTGCTAAGTATAGGACCAGTCTTAGAGACCCGATACTAAATCCTAAAATTTTAAATTTTAAGAAATTCTGGGATTTATTTTCATTAAGAAGCTTATTAAAAACATTATAATATACAAGTTTAATTATAAATTTGCAAAAATAATTCTTTGTAATTTTCTTGGGACTTTTAGGATTGCTTAGTGTTAGGATCACTTTACATCCCTATTTATTTATGACAAATAAAAATATAAAACCAAATTTTTTGCAAAACATTTAGTAGTATTGATAAAAAAGAAGTAAAAATAACTTTTAATTTTTATTTTTATTAATGGTTTTGTATCAGTCTTTAATTTTAATTGAATTTATATGAATAGAGTTTATTATAATTATGTTAGTTTCGGATAAGAGTTGGGTTTAGGTTGTGGATGGGTCAGGTTAAGTTTGGGTTGGAGTTGAGTTGGGTTGAGTTTAATTAGAATCGGGTTAGGGTGATTAGGTTTGGGTTAGGTTGGGGTTGGTATATGTTCGAATTAAGTTCGGGTAAGTGTTGAGTTAAGTTTGAGATATAGTTGGGTGTGTTTCGAGATATAGTTTGGAAGGTTCCGGGTTGAATTTAGGAATGTTCGAGTTATGATTAAGTGTGTTCAGCTTATTTTCTTTTTGTTAATTTTCTTTTTTAATTATTTTGAACTTTTTTTGGTTTTTAATTTGCGCGAACATTTTCTTTAATAATTTTATTTATTTACTTTAATTTTAAGATTTAATTTTTTTATATTTTAATGTCCGCGATATTATTAAATAACGAATTAAAAAAAATAAATCTGAAAATAAAATAATTAAATAATTACGATAAAAAAATATTATTAATTAAAATCTGTTTAATTAAATTTATTATTATAAATTTATTTTTGAATCTTTTAATACACGTGAATTTTTTTTTATATTTTCATTAGTCAGTTTATTTATTTTTTTTTTAAAAGATTAATTAACGAAATCAATAATAAAAATAAAATAATAATGGTAAATTTATTCTAATGATAACATAAAAGCATATAGCTATAGCTGCTGCTGCAGTTGTAAGCTGTAGCTTATAAAACAGCTATATAAACTTCAAATTTGATTGCGAATAAATGATGCAGATCGTATCGCAGAACGAATTTCAAATCGCGACTCGAATGAAAACCACATCTTATAAATCAGAATTAATATTTTTATATAAACTCTCCTATCAATTTTTTTTTTTTTTTTTTTTACCAAAAACCATATTAAAAAATTCAATTTATAATTTGCTAATGTATCGGTCAAACAATCCTGTACGAACTAATTTTGAAGAAAATTCCTTAGCCACAAAACCAAAATTGCACAGAAAAAAAGGTCTTCATTTTATATTTTACTAAAAATATATATATATATATATTTCTTTTTTGATCATTGTTTAACTCGATCTTTGAATTTGCAGATATATGAGTGACATTACATTATTTTGTCACAGTCGGGGTACTCATATTAATAATGCTATTCCAATTGACCTTGAACAAAGTTGATAATTTTGATATCAGTCTTGAAAAAGTTAAACTTTGGAAAACTGATATGGCTCAACAACAAAGTCAATGAACTGAATCTACGAATGTTTTTAACTTTTCTCGAAGTAAATAACTAGGCAATGGAAGAACTTGATATGAACTTTCATGAAACATTGAACTCAGCAATGTGAGCCCGTGTACAAAGATTTTGATGGGATTTCCAAATGTATTTATATTTCTGGATAACTACAACCACATCATCGTCCAACCGTCCGGTAAGTATCTTCCCTCTCGACAATATAATTGCATCATCTCATATCTCATTATTTATTGATTAGGAAAAAGGGAAGCGAAAGAAAACGAGGAAAGAAGAACCAGAAAAAAAAAAGGAACGAAGAATGTGAGCAATATATACTTTATGTGTTTTTGACTTGAAATCCTATTTCGTTCGATTTTTTTCACTTTTGATTTGTTTGATATTAAATATCTTGATGAATCAGAAGAGGATCGTGGATTAACTTATAGTAATATCATCTTATAGGCTTAAAAAGTTCGTGAAAATAACAAATTATCCTTACGAAAAGTCCTCCATCATTGAGAAAGAGTTGCCACTTGGACATGTGACGTATTTATGATAGCTTATATATCTATAGATGGTAAAAAGGTAATCTATAATAACGAGAGCTCTTTAACCGATTTTTGGCGGAATAAAGTTGGAAGAATTTCGACCGAAATTAGTCGATCCAGATAAAAGGCTACCTGTCTCTTTAGGATGAAATAAATCCATCATCTTTCAACAAATTTAGTTCAATTGCATGTGGTTCAGGGTAGCGATCTCTTTAAAGTCCCTGAAAATTTTCAAAAGCAATACTTGATCCCACGGAAGGGCATCCTGGAACGCTCCGATTAATCTGTCAGCAATTATTTTCGTAACTATAATGGATTGTAACGACAAGAAAATGTTGTGGTTCAACTAAATTACGAATAGTATGACAAGACATTCTCGCGCTTTTCACTGGATCCGAAACTGGAAACCAAAAGATAATGAGTATACTACTACATGAGCAAGCGGGATAATCAAAGAGGACTAGCCCTTGAACAGTAATTTACCTGCGTTACAGCGTTATGGAGTAAGGGAGGGATTTAATTTTGATACTCGTAACTTATTCGAGGAATTTACTTTTTTTTGCAAGATTTTATTCAAATGTTTAAATATCATACTTTAACAGTCATTTACTCAAAATGTTAATGAGGTTATATAATAAATTATCCATACTTAACATATGATTTTAAGGCTTTTTGAAGGGCTCAAGAGGAATACAGATAAGCGAAGCCACGAGATTGAACCATTCGATATTATTGAACATTTATAACAAAAATTGTTTAAGACTCTTTTGGTTGTTTTTATGTGTTTTGCATTCAAGTTGGAGTCGGCGTTATATATATATTCTGTCGATGCGTAAACATTGGTTGGTATTGATCTGGGAAGTTTATCTTTTTTTAACCGTACTGAAATAATAAACTTGGTACTTGCAATTAAAACCACATGTTATGAAAATAATAAACAGTGCAACTTTTGATTTATTAATTATTTATTTGAAAAATGAATTAGTCCAATAACTAAGTAAAAATTTGACTACGATTAGTATTTTAATTTAAACTGGCTCGTATGAACATGTGTGGAATATTAACTTTAACCATACTTATCCTTTTATTAAATAATAATTGATTCGTATAATAATCAAGTTAATATTGCACATGATTAAAGGAAATATATGTACAAAGCGGCGATCAATAAAAATTTTCCCAAATTAAATCTAAAATGAAACAAAGCGATAGGTAAGCAGATTAAAGTCCAATGTCAAACCAAGATATTCTTTTAAATAGCGCTGGCTTTGATTAAAAAAAAAATATGATGCATATTATAAATCGTCCCTCTTTTTTATGATATTATAACCTCTTACCCTTCCTTGTACTCTGAGTAATTTCGGAAACATGAAGGGCAGTCCATTTTGTACAGTACTTGCAACCGGTGTATGCTAAATATTACTTATCATTTATTTTATTATATTTTATTTAGACGCAACAAAAGGAGCACATATTTCCGACAAAATTATAAACAACTCCGCCAAATTTTGCGGGAAGAAGACAAAAAATTCGGAAAATGAAGAAATGTTTTTTTTATAATTACAATAATAATCATTATTGTTATTTTATTTTAAATTTTAAAAATATTTGAACTTGCATATCGTAATATAATGCAAGAATTCGAAAAATAAATTTCATGTTAAAACGCGAGCTCAAATTGAAATAACAACAATGACCACATCTTATATACCATTATAAATTTTAGTACATATATTGATAATATTTATCATCATCATTAGTCGAGGGAGGGTGTGTGTTATTCATCATCTTCACATCATCATGAAGGTTTCAATATTTCCATATTAGTTAAAGCGATAATAGATTTTGCATATAAAATTTCAGTCAAGTGGTTTGAGTTCTTGGATTTTATTATGATTAATTTCGTGTGACATATCCTTTAACATGATCAATTATTATAATTTTCTTTTCGCATTATAAATAACTTAGCATCTTGCTTATTTTAATGAACCTGACATATGTTATGTATTAAACAATTGATACACGGCCGTAAGGAGTAATTTATCACGGATAGACTTAATCATGATATTCAATATAAGCTATTAATAATATAAAAAACATTAAAAAAAAAGTTTAATAGTTATTAATAGAATACTATGATTAACCGGGGTTATTTTAACTTCTATATATGATTACGTAATTTTAAATTTTAAATTATTATTTTTTTTTTTTTTTAAAATTCAAAATTATTACGTAGTTATGTTATGATGTAGTATAAAATAGTCTATTAACATTGTATAAATTGTTTATTGTATTGATTTAACATTGTTCAACATTGTTCTCTCGCTTTCTTCTTATACTTTATTGAATAAATTTAACAAATTTAAAATTCCCACGCTTCCTTTTTTTTTTTTATTTTCTCATTATTTCGATATTGTTTTTATATAGAATATACAAATAATATTATATGGTAAAATTATATTAAATAATAATTATAAACCGAGGGAAATATGCATATATAGTGTTATTTTTGATTTGTATATTTAAATTGTTGACCCATAATCTTTTTTTTCACTTTTCTTTTTTCTATAATTCTTACAATGGTACGTCCATCTAAATTCCGACATTATATTATTCATTCATAAGCCAAAGCTTGCTGCCCAAATAGCAAGAGAACAAGCTAAAAAAGAAAATGTTCAGCTCCTTGATGATTATTTAGTTGAAATTTTGACTCTTCGTGAGGCCTCAGAGAAGCAAACAATTTCATTTTCTTATTGCAGTTCTTCTTTTCATTATTAAATTACTAACCTGTTAGTTTATGGGCTGTCGCATGTTTCAGTCTGTTAACTTGTGGTTTATCCGCACGCTTTTGCAGTTACAGACTTGTGATGGCTCTTAAGTTATTTTCTTTAGATATATTTTCTTTTATTTTTTTATTTTTTATTTTATTTTTTATTATTTTCATGTACTTACAATTATCTCTATGTAATTTTACTTTTGTTCAATAAAATTTTTATGGCTTATGCCACTTTTGCTTTTAAAAATCTATTACTAATGAGTCCGGAATGAAATTTAACCTATTGGCAAGCTCCTTTTTGCTAACATCTATTTATTAGCTTTGAAAAATCAAAAGGTTTTCGTTCATCTCCTGTAAAAATATCAAACAAAACTGCGATAAGCATCGATTATTAAAATCAAAATCTTCCGATCGATCATATTCTTGCCGTCAGGTATAAATATTGATCTATATATTTTCATATTATCCACAGATCTTGTACAAGGATCAAGTTTTGGCTTGCCAGTAACTTCAAAAGGTCAAATAATTCATATATGACCATACCTACCTTACGGTCACATAAGTTTGGGATTCATTGCAATGTATGATTTCGTTAAGTAAATTCCAGATTCATATTCAGTTTCGTTAACAGCACAGCTTTTTTTGATATCATTTGTGGATTGAGGCATTAAAGGTAAAAATTAAGTAACAAAAACATGATGATAGCTTTCAGTATAATTAACCTTATTTTCCTTCCAAGTGTCCTCTCTGAAGAAGTTTCTTCCAAAGATTTCCTTCCAAAATGAAGTCAAAGTCATAATACTTACTCTCCATCATATATTAGGTCAAAGACTACAAGCTAGTTTGTACGCTTTGCAGCCCGCTGTTTTGCATGATCATTGTCGATAGTAAAATAAAGAAATCGGTTTAATTATTCATCCTTTCAAGGTTAATTTTTCTTCGGCTTCACCTGTTACATAAATGCATATTTAACAAAAATTTTTAACAAGTATCAAGAATCAGAACAAAAACGAATCGCAAACAGAAAGAGTCCTGATGATCAATGCAGTAGAGACTTGCCGGGAGTTTCCTAACATCTTTTGAGACTTGACACTGAAATTCCTAGACAATGAGAGCAGAACATATAGAGACAAATAGGAAGGCCCCTTTTGTCTGTATTGTAAACAAAATTTCTTAACCTTCACAGTAATCCTTTGAAAGTACTTTCACCTCCTGCAGTAATCGTCTATTCTATGTGCTATTGAGGGAATTCCATTGGTGGTAAATCGATAAGAACATAGTTTAGGGTCAGAAGTTCGGCATACGACCAATTTTTGGAGTTACTAGGACTACCGAAAATAAAATGATTAGTACTTTAGAGATAAAATAATCATCACTAGGTGACCAGGAAAAGAAAAAAGATGTGATTGAACCAATCAAGCTTTCAACTATATATATGATTAGATGATAGGTACGACAAGGCATTTTACTTGTTGTTTTGACATCACAAACATATAATTTTACAAACCCACCTTCTCACATTTTATGCTTGAAGCTAGACTATATGTACCTAGTCATATTATCATTAAAGGTTGGGTACGGAATTATCAATTTCCATCATCTAATATTGCTCATGCATAGTGAAATATCTTATAAATAATCCTGGAGGACATATTGAACGTAATTATGGTGGAAATGAAATAAAAGAATATCCTATTTTAATTCAAATGGTTTGAGATTACTTATTATTCAAGAAACTAGCGTTGCATCAAGCAATCCTTTCAAAAAGTCTTTTGGACTGAAATTATAAAACGGTCGAGTTTAACCCATCCTTAGTTTAAAAACTAGTTCTTGAGGACGGACAAATCTATTCCTGAACTCGCCTTAATAATATGTCGCAATTATTGATAATATACAGCCCAATTATAATCGGATTTAATTCTTCAACCGTAAAAGTTTCATTACCAAGCTACTCAATAGCTGTATTAATTTCGTCAAATTAATATGGAATACAATCTTGTGCAAGCTAAAATAAAACTCCAGCTTTTCCTGTTAAGCTCTCAACAAAAACCCAATTGTTATGAGAGAAGGAATACACGATTGTGAAAGGATACATAGTTGCTCATGTCTACAGGACGAACCTCATCTTTACCATCATCGCATTTTCTTGTCCTTGATATCTTTTTACTCTTTGTAAATTGTTATGTCATCTTTACAAATGCACAAAGGTCCTTTTCCAAACTAAATGATATTTAATATGTTCTATAATCGCCGAGATCGACTACTTCTGAATCATAGTAGCTCTTTTTGATTAATTTTTTGCAATCTATAAATTGACCATAAAATTATAGCCACGATTGCTTTTAATGCGTAATCTATTCAAACTAATTATAT